CACCAGCTGCTCTGTGGGAGAAAGATGGGCAATCTCATCACACTAATAACTGCCTTTGAGAACCCACTAGAGGACCAGCAACGACAGTTACCACCTGTCTTAATAGCCTCTATTTCTGCTTTGTAGAGAGGTAGGAGGGAGAAAGGAAGGGTGCTGAACTAGAAGAATTTCTGAATTTCCTTCCAACTTTTACAATCCTGAGGCGGTACTCTGGCAGTGTGAATGCACCAGTGTCTCTCTGGGAGAAAGATGAACACTTTTCCCCTTGTAATTTACAGCCCCTGAAAATTCACTGAAGGGTCAGCTATGAGGTGGTTCCAACTAGATGGCAATGAGTGAGTAAAATTGTTTAGTATGGAAGTGGGTACCCTTGTTCTTCAGGTTGTTATATATCAAAGTTCAAGACTCTATCTTCTAATACCTACAGACTTCTGTTTAATAAAGAAAGGGGCTGAAGAGTTTTATGAGAATAGAAGAAGACACCAGTTTCAGAGTTCCATTTTCTGCATGTTGTCACCGATGCAAGGGTGTATTTAATGAAATTCTCCTTAATAGGCCATGCCAATTCCCCTCAGCTTCTCTGAAGTAAAGCTAGGAATAGAGCAGTCTTTGGAAACTGCCTAGTGAGCACAGGGCTGATCTAATTTCCAGGAGCACTCATTTGCTCTCCTCAGACCTCACATAAGTTTGTTAAATTGGGAAAGCTCAGCAGGAGGTGCATCTGAAATATTTTCACCTTTCTTTTCCTCCCCCTTTCTCTTTTTGCACTTAATTCTTGCTGCTCTTGCCAATGCATGGTGCTTTGAAACTGACAGAAAGGCAACTGAAGCTATTTGGTCAAATTTCTAGTCACAAAGCAGAGAGAGTTGCTGCTATTCAAGTGAGTGAAATGTTAGCTCCTGTGAAGGGGTAATTGCTTCCTCAGAGGTCCCCTCCCTTCTCAGTGAGCCTGATTTTAGTTAAATCACTGTGAAGTCTGCAACTCCAGCACTCAACAACTTTTACCTACTTTTTGTAAAATGGAGAACCCACCTATAAGACAGAAAGGAAGTATTCAAGCACATCCCACTTGCATTTGACTTTGTGGGACCAGATAGTGTCCTACCTTTTACACAAGAATGTGTTTACTCACACTCTTCTCCACTCCTGTCTTCCTTCAGTGGCTTCTCTGCCTCAGGCCACCTTCAACATGTGACATGTGGGTCTCTTGACATCCTCTAGGCTCTATCTCAGAACCAAATTTCAGAGGCTTTTGTCTGACTAAACTTATTTTAGGACCCTTGAATATTTACAACTTTTCATACTTTGTCTTCCACTTTTGTGCAACCTGCTCAATCCCTTCCACCATATATATCTGTTTCTTCTCAAGATGCCCTCAATCTAACTCACTTATGGCCTTTAGTGCAGTTCAGTTCTCAGAGAGGAAATGACCTGCTTCCATGTATTGGTTCTGCACTCAAATTCAATTAAAGTCAAGCTCTGAGGAGACTTCGATCTATTTAATCCCATCTCACCAGCACAAGCACCATCTCTGAGCTCTTTTCCACACATATCTCTTGTCTTTCTCTCTTGGACCTTGCACAGTACCTGGCAATACATGTTTCTTGAAGCAGGACGTCTTTACTAGTGCTTTAGATATTTTTAAGAGTGGAAGAGATGGGAACAGCACTAGGATTTTCCAACAAGATCATGATTGAGAGTGAGCAGATGAGAGAAGTGACCTCCTCCAGTCTTCGCTTGGCTGCCTTCTGCTTTAGCACTATAAACGCCAACTTGTGTAGTCACTGGGGTTGAAGTGTGAGCCATTAGAAAAGAAGAGGAGGAAGGGCAATTTTAAGGAAAGGTGGAGGAGTAAGGGATTTTCTGAAGCAGCTGCTCAGCATGTGTGAAAGGTAGATTTATACAAATTAGGAATTATTTGCTGATAAGATAGAATGCTCACGATTTCACCAATAGAGGCAGTAGCTCATTTGGAGGGTTCTCCTCTCACTTCTGCCTTACAAAGCTCTGCTGTGTGTGAGATTATCTCCACCTTGCTGGTCCTGTGTTTCTTTACAAAGGCCCACAATTACCCTAAGCTAGGATGGATGTGGGATATACACAATCTCTGACAACTATTCCTTTGGGGAGATTTCAATATTCTCCAAGTATTAACATTCTTGGGCTTTCTGAGCCTGGGAACTTTCCTAATCCAAGGCATGCTGATGGGTGGTCCTTAATACTCCCTCCCCTTTGGGCTCACTGGGTTTCAGCAAATCTAATGGATGGTGTTGGAAGAAAAAACAATACATTTGTACTATTACCTCCTCCTTCAATTTTCATACAGAAGCTGTTGTTTATTAAACCTTAAATTCACTTGGGCACTTGGCTTCTTGATTTATACAAATGGATATATTTACCTAAAACAACATTTTAAAAAGCAATAAAAACTCCAAATGAAAAAAGAATCCAAACATAAAAAAAACCCCACACTACTGCTTCAGAAAGGTGAAAGGGAATTTCATGTTTATAATTGTTAAATTAAAAAAATTGAATGAACCTTTCAAAGTAATTTTTTATTTGAATTCTACATCCTTATGTATTATGTAACAATTAGTAATGATGTGATGGATAATTTTCTTTGGAACAGTTCCTGATTCCATTACTCAACTAGTCGATCGACCAGTAATTATGAATCATATCTTTAATTAGCTGCTGCTCTTCAGAAACATATGAAAGCCAAGGGCATAAAGTAATTGGCATAAAAGTTTTCCTAATTAATTTATCTGTCTATGTAAGTAACCAGGGCTAGAGTCTGGGGATCATTTATAACTTGAGGAGGGCCAGCCCTTAAAACTCACTGTCGAAGGAGATTTATATTTGTGAATTCTTAAAAAGACAACAAGCCACAAAATTGTATTATGCCTCATCTCTAAAAATATAGCCAGTAATGTGCTGTTCAGAGATGAGCAAAAAAGTTCCTATTGATCCAATTCATTTTCATCATATCCTCCAGTGAATCTTTCAAATCTCTCTTGCCTTTTCCTCATTCAACATTGTAACAGTAATCAAGCACATTAAGCAATTCATTAAACAACAGCCCGGCTGACCACAGGGAGTACTGCAGCTAACATTCATTAGGCAGCCAATAACTTTATTTAAGTAGCAAGGGGCTTGGGAGCAAAAACCAACTCCTTTGTCTCTCTGTATGAAACTACACATTTCAGTGACAGTGGAGACACATGCTCGCTGGTCCAGAGATGCGTTCTGAGGAGGGCTGGCCTCTGTATATAGAAAAATTAGGAGAGACTGAGGTGTCCAGATCATGTTCTCTCTTCCCAACAGGCAATTCAAAATTTAGCTCTCTGCTAAGCAGGGATATGTTGAGTCTGAGAATGAAATGTCCAAATATTTAAATTTGGGCACCTGATTTTCAGATCTAAATGACATGAGAGCGAGCACGGGTGTGTGGCTTCACAGAAACCTGGCTTGGCTTTCGGAGATTGATAAAAGTGATGGATGCATTTTCTTCCCGGACAACAGGAAAAGAACTAAAATAACAAAAGCGAGTGGCACAAATCGTTTCTTCAGACCACCAGGAGATGTGTCTTATGAAAGCGTACATGTCTTCCTGAGGTTTGAGGGAGAATCCTGGGGAGATTGTAAAGGCAGAGATGGTAACTGGAGAAGCATCACTGAGACTATATTTTGCCAAGAGAGGGTGCCTTGCATAGTGCCCCGAGGGATCTGGATTTCCCACACTGTCATCCTCAGACCCTTATCTTTAGCTGCTGGACTTTTTAAACATTAAAACATTTGAGAATTTTGTTTTGTAATTTAAGTCTTCATAGATAATACTATCCATGATTACCAGAAATAGTTTTGGAAAGGATTTTTCCCTCCCTTGGAAAGACCAAACAAAATCCTTTTTCAGAAGGTATTTTTTTAATTGCCTTTAGAGTCTTCAGAGGAAACACATAAGAGAATTACATTTTTAAGACATACTGTTCTCTAACTCTAAATCAAGGTGTATGGTCAGGATTAACCCTGTTTGATAAGTTTTCCTTTTAATTCACTAAATACGCCTTTCTTCTAACCCTTTAGTCTTATCAGTTATGTCTTGACATCTTTATTTCTAACCCTTATCTATTGACTAAGGTACTGTCACCACTAAATAAAATAAAATTGTCTGATCTCCGACTTTACTATGTTGCAGCTAATAAAAGCAGGATGCACAGAAAAATGGAGGCTTGGTGGCCTTTCCCACCTGCCATGTGGGACACAGACCTGGGTTCAGAACTTGGTTCAGGCCCATGACTGAGTCATATCTCAGATTGTTGTGTCAGCTTCTGAACAGGGGCCTTAAATGGGAGGAGTGTAGCCGAGTAAAATGCTGCTTCAGAGCAGACAGAAGGAGGATCATAGAACAATGATTCAGAGCAGGGTGAGTGCAATCTATTGGAGTGATTTTTTTTTTCCTTCGGTAAACATTAAGGATTTAAAGTTATAACCTTTAGATAAAGGGACTTTAAAAGAAATTCTCTCTCCTTGTTATTTTATAGTTGACCCTCCAAGCAGGTATCTAAGGCTGTAAATGGCAAGAAAGAAGATTACTCATCTTTCTCTGTCGAGTTGCTGGTGGGTTTGAACCACTAGACAGGCACCAACTTTGAATTAGCAGGGAAACTCGCTGTGGGTCAGAGGAGCTCCCCTTCACATCACTTAGTAACAGGAAAAATTCTCATTGTTTAAATGCATTTTAAACAGTTCTAGACACTGGGATGAAGATTTCTATTTTATTCAATTATTTTATTTAGTTATTCTATTCAGTTGGAAGCAGGAGTGGCATCCACTTCCTAAACAACATGCCTCCGGAAACTCTATGAACTTTGATAAACGTTGATAGTTGTAGAGGGGCTTCAGGCCTTTTGTTCTTGGAATTGCTGAGTCATGCTCAACTCAAAGACGATCAACAGCAACAAGAATTTTATTCAATTACAATGAAATTTCTTTTTTTTTTTTCACATTGAAAAAAAGTTTATTTTAAAAAGTTCTAGCAGCAAGAACAGTAACAAAACAAAAGGAGACAAACAAACAACACAGGAAAGAGGTTGTATCTTGTGGGACTCGTCTCCATTCTTTAATCGAGTTCTTTATACCGAGCAAACATGACTCTTCGAACTGCATCTCGGTAAGTTTCGTTAGACTGTCTCTTGCTAGTCCTTCCTGGGGCTCCCACTCCGGGTCCCTTCATGCGGCCTTCAGTCTCTTCCGAAGTTAAGCCAGGCTGGCCATATCCCAAACCTGTACCCTTCTTCCAGCCAGTAGCCTGCTGGCCATAGCCTCCTTTGCTGCTATTGTCGATACTTTCTTTACCCAAAGTTTTACGGTCACTGTCCGTTTCCCTGGTGTATTTGATCCTTTTTCGTTCTGGAGAATCCAAAGACTGGAGTTTTTCCCTGCGATCATTTCCTCTTTCCTTAAATCTGCCCTCCCGTTCTCGCCTCTCCAGATAGGCCAACTCTTGTTCAGACTGCTTAATTTTCCGGCGGATTTCCAGGTTTTGCTTGTGCAGGTCTGAAAGCTGCTGGTGTTTGATGAGCACTTCCTTATTGGGAAACTGCCTTCTGCAAAGAAGGCCAGCCAGTTTATTCCAGTCAGTGAGTTTGTCTTCTTCATTCTCCTTTTTGACGGGCTCTTCCCTCGGCTGGGCCTGCACTGTGCGAGGTGGTGGGGGAGGAGCCTGCTCCTCTTCCTCCTCCTCCTCGTAGTCACTGTCTCCTCCATATTCACCAAGGAGACCGATTAGTGGGTTTACCACTTTAGGTGGAGGAGGACTCTCTTCCTTCTTCACAACGGGAGGCAAGGGTTTCTTAAAGACATCCTCTGGGGGAGCCTTCCCTTCACTTGCATTGTCCTGAAATTTCTAACTTGATGAGTGAAGAGATGAGAGAATCTTTATAACTTGCTAAAAATTCTGGCAACTAGCTCTGTAGTACCTACATTATAGGGTCACATATGTTGGCTACTCTCACCTGCTGCATTCAGAGTCTTCACAATAACAACTTGAACTCTATAGCGGTGGGAGCTCATTCACATCCTCGAAATGGGCAAATTCTACAAATCCTAGTTCCTTCTGTCCATCCTCTGGAATTACTATATTCAAATGTATATCACTGCCAGGAAGCACAGAGAGTAAATACTAGGGCAAGGATTTGAAACCAAGTTTGTTCAGCTTCAGATCACATGTATTTATTTAAGCATATTAAATCACTTCATTAAATTATCCAGGCAGCTCATGACCTTTACAGAGTAAGTTCTTTCTACAAAGACCTATCTATGTTTGATGCCTTAGCGCTAATATTGTTTTTAAAAATCTGCATCTGTTTAAGGGCTAGAGAACATTTAATTTTGCTTATGTGGAACTTGTACATGAATCACATAGAACAAGGGATTACTTCATAGTTCAAAGTCAGAAAAGATTTGCCTCAGAGTTGTATCCTTTCTCTATACCTGTTAAGTTTGTATGCTACGCAAGTAATTGGAGAAGCTGAATTACATGAAGAAAAATGTGGTATCAGTTTTGGGGGAAGACTCATAAAGTATTGTTTTATGCAGATGACACAACCTTGTTTTGTGAAAGTTTAGTGAACTAAAAACACTTACTGGATAAAACCATAAACTACAGACTTCAACATGGATTACAACTCAACATCAAGAAAACAAAAATACTCACTACTGGATCAATAGCAAGCCGCATGATAGATGAGGAAAAAATTAATATTGTCAATGATTTCATTTTATTTGTATATATGATCAACACCCATGACAACAGCCAACAAATTAAGAAATGTGTTTTATTGGGCAAGTCTACTCATATGCAAGTTCAAGCTGAAGCTGAGGAAAATGAAACAGAATCCACGGGAACCAAAATATGACTTTGAGTTCATCCCACCTGAATTTCAGAACCATCTCAGGAACAGGTTTGAGGCCTTGAACACTAACGAGCAAAGACCTAATGAGTTGTGGGAGGATGTCAAATGTATCATTCAAGAAGAGTGTAAACGGTCATTACAAAGACAGAAGGAAAAAAAAAGGCCAAAACGGATGTCAGAAGAAACTCTGAAGATTGCACTGGAACGTAGAGAAGCCAAAGCACAAGGAATAATTAAAGATACAAAAGAGCTGAACAGAAGATTCCAAAAAGCATCATGAGATGACAAAGCAAATTATTACAATGAACTGTACAAGGAGCTGGAGTCGGAAAATCAAAAGGGCTGAACTTATTCAGCGTTTCTTAAGCTCAAGGAACTGAAGAGCAAATTCAAACCTTGAGTTGCTATAATCAAGGATGCTTTCAGCAGAATATTAAATGATCCAGGAAATATTAAAAGAAGATGGAAAGAATATCCTGAGTCATTGTATCAAAAGGAATTGGCAGACACAAAAGAATTTCATGAAACAACATATGAGCAAGAGCCTATGGTGATGAAGGAAGAAGTTCAAGCTGCTTTGAAGGAAACAGCAAAAAATAAGGCCCCAGGAATAGATGGTATACCAATTGATTTATTTCAGCTACCAGATGCTGCCCTGGACGTGTTCACTAAGTTGTGCCAAGAAATCTGGAGAACAACCACTTGGCCAACTGATTGGAAGTGATCTATATTTGTTCCCATTCCGAAGAAGGGTGACCCAACAGAGTGTAGAAACTATATAATAATATCATGATTTCACAAGCAAGCAAGATTGTACTGAAGATTATCCCAAGATTCTATTGAAGATTATCAAAAAACGACTGGAACAGCACATCAGCAGAGAACTGCCAGAAGTACAGGCTGGGTTTAGAAGGGGTCATGGTACTAGAAATATTATAGCTGATGTTAGATGGATCTTAGCTGAAAGCAGGGAATACCAGAAGAATGTCTATCTGTGTTTCATTGATTATGTGAAGACGTTTGACTGTGTGGATCATAACAAACTGTGGCTGACTGTGAGAAGAATGGGAATCCCAGAACACTTGATCGTTCTAGTGTGAAACCTATACTTGGACCAAGAGGCAGTCATCAGAACAGAGCAGGGAAACACTGCATGGTTCAAAATTGGGAAAGTTGTACACCAGGGATGTGTCCTATCTCCATACCTTTGCAACCTGTACACAGAACAGATTATCCAAGAGGTTGGCTCTATGAGAAGTGTGGTGTTAGGATTGGTGGAAGATCTATTAACAATCTGTGTTATGCAGAGATGGCACAACCCTGCTTGCTGAAACTGAGGAGGACCTGAAATGCTTGTTGCAGAGGGTCAAGGACTGCAGCATTCTGTATGGATTGAGGCTCAATGTCAAGAAGGCAAAGATTCTCACCACTGGACAAATTGACAGCATCAGGATGGATGGTGAAGAGATTGAGATTGTTAACAACTTTAGTCTCCTTGGCTCCACAGTCAGCACTCTTGGCACCAGTAGCCAGGAAACCAAAAAACATATTGCGATGGGAAAGTCTGCTGCTAGGGACCTCTCCAGGGTACTGAAGAGCATTGGTGTCACTCTGGAGACTAAGGTGAGTCTGATACAGGCTATGGTCTTTGCAATCACTTGTTATTCATAAGAGAGTTGAACAATGACTAGGGAGGATAGAAGGAGATTTGATGCCTTTGTGCTGTGGTGCTGGCGAAGAGTATTGAGTGTACCATGGACTGACAAGAAAACAAACAGATTCATCCTTGGGAGGGTTAAACCAGGCTGCTCCTTTGAGACAAAGATTCTGGGGCTTTGTCTGACATACTTTGGGCTTGTCCTAGGGGGGGGAGGGATTGTAAAACAATTGCGGAACTTTTCTTTCACATTTCAAAGAGAAGAGTGTACTGGTGGGGAGGAGGGGTGGGGGGGTGGGCAGGGAGAAAAGTGCAACAATAAATGAATGCAAATCCAAAGTTCTTTGTAAATGTTCATTAAAATTAATTTAAAAAGTGATAAAAGAGGAAGATCAAAGAATCAATGCTTTTGCATGGTCATATTTTTTTTAAATTTAGGTTGTTTATTTTTCATTTCAATGAACATCTACAGAAATTTTGGGATTCCATTCATTCATTGTTGC